AAATAGGCAATTAAAACTAATAAAATAATCTATAAACTATGTAAAAATATTAAAAAAAATATAAAATATAATATAGACCTAAAAATAAATATATACTAATATAGAAAAAAAAATAAATTCTATTACAATACTATATCTGACAAATAATATATAAGTTTTTGTATATTTAAATATTATCTAATCTAATATTTAACCTCTTTCTATATATTTGTCAAGTCATTAAATATTTCAGAATATATTACTTAACTATAAGGCTTCAAGAAATTATCTTTTTAGCTAGACTACTTACTTTTCTATAAGATATTAGTAGAACTTATTTTTACAAAGTTTATACAGATACTAGTACTAACTTTACAGCATATTCTTAGTACTTATAATATACTTCTAATTTGTCATTAAACTCTTAATTTAGATAATCTAATAGAATTATAATTTGTCTTTGATATACTAAGTCTGGTTCAATATTCTTTTTCTTTAATTCAAGACTTTTGATAATTTGATTGGTAATATTTTTTATTTGAAGTTTTTGTCTGCTTGCTTCTTTTACATTGATATTTATTTTTTAGGTTTAGTTTTTATAGTAGTACTGTTAAAAATTTATGTTACTTTTCTATTTAAGTTTTAATTTTTCCAGTTCTACAAATTTACATGATTACAAAAACTTATTTTGAGTTTGTATTACCTAGTACTGGTTTGCATTTCTTAGTATAACCAAGATTACATGGATGTCCTTTGACCTGCCAATTATGCTAGTTACAGATATCTTATCTCAACTAATTACCAGAATACTGTTACTATAATACAGATATATTTTTTTTAAATTTCATCTCTAATGGATTTTGAATTTACAACCTGTCATTTGAAAGTTGACAACTTATTTATTTCACTAAGTTACCACACCTCTTTATAAATTATTCAAAAATAGATTAGGTATTGTAATTTACAATAGAGTATTTAAATCTAAAAGAATTTTAACAAAAATTTTTTTACTGCTTTAGATTATATTTAGGTACAGTTAGACTACTAAATGCACTTCCTCTAAGTGCACATTCTATAAAACACCTCTTTAAATACAAGGACCCAACTAACATTACATCTATATATTTTTACTTCTAAATACAATACCTTTCTAAGTGCACGTTTGACTAAATTTTTATAATGGTCTCGTTGCATTGCATTCGAAAGATCTGACTGTACTACTTTTATTACATAATGTAAAATGTAATTTTTCTGTTTATATTGTAATAATATTTTAAATAAAGACAAAGAAAATTTAAATAACACCGTTAATATTAAAAAAAATTTTTTAAATCAAGGTTTTCTTTAAATGCTTAATATTTTATATTGTAATCATTCAGAATTTTTATTTTAAATACCTGAAGTTAAGAGATACAAAAATTATCTGAATTGGTAGGTGTTCACATGAACTGATAGATGTTCATAAACTTTTCTTGTGAGTACCATAGTAACTGACTAAAAAACCTGGGGTCTAATATAAAATACCTGAAAAAAATTATTTGACTGTTACTGGGCCAAAATTTTGAAAATTTACCAGAATTACATAAATTTACACCATATATTATACCCTCAAAAAGGGAGGTATTTTAGTCAGAGCACTACGTACGGTAAGCTGCATAATTTATTTATGTATAAAACAGATAAAAGATGTTTACTAAATAATTTTTGTTTTTTTGTCAAAGCTATACTTTTAAAAAAGTAAACCAAGTAAACCATTTTAATTTATAATAAAAGTCGTAAAGAAAAGAATTTTAATTATATAATAGTAGCTAAAATACTAAAATTAATTTAGTAAATTATAAGATATAAATTTTATTCTTTATAATTATACATTTTCTTATTATTATGGATTATAAATTAAATACCATTTGTTATAAGCCCCATACAGTACCTTGTAAAAGTTCTGAATAATTCCAAATTAGTAAAATACTATAGCCAATAAATGAACTAGTTAGAAACAATTGATGCTCTTTGCTCGCTATAAATTTATATAACATTGTATTTGACCAAACACATTTAATAAGAAATCATCAATTTTCTTGACTTCAATAGTTTGAGTTCAACTTTACGATTAGATACATGTGATCGATTGCAATGTTTTATTTCAAACTTAAATATAGAACAAATAATTAAATAAGGCGTAAAACAATTGAATAAATAAATAAATAATAAAATATCACAAATAATACATAAGAATCGATTTGACTTTGATCATTTTTTTAGCAGACACCATTAGTTTTATGTGATGTATTTTTAACACTACCAAAAGTAGCTCTTGTAACGCCTTTTAGTAGATTCCAACTTGCAGTTGAGGTTCTATAAAGAAAATTACAAAATCAATAATGTATATATAAAAAATGGCAAAAATACATATTATAAAGAATACAAACCTTTTCTTATAGAGAGTTTCTTTGTCCAATTTATTCAAAAGATTAATAGTAGATGTAATATCAGTGACTAGAATATCACACCGTTCGCGTGAAAAATCTTCCCGAACTACAACTCGCATCAATTTGATATGCTGAGTATTTGGTGCCATCGTATATGCAGGTACAATCCACCCACGTTCACGGAGACGTTGAGCTACATCAAACTGTTAAAACAAGATTATATAATTTGAACTTATAACTTTAACAAATTACAAGAAAATCAAAATAAAATTTTCTAACCTCATCATAATGAATATCCGTAATCTTTAACCTAAAAGCTACAAGTGGCAATCCAGCACTATTTCTGTCACTAAGAATTTCAAAAAAGCCAGTATCCTCCAATGATTGAGCAAGATAATTAGAGATAGTCATCAAGTTGTTCATGATCGATGTAAATCCTTTACGTCCATTTCGAATTAATACATAATATTGGGCGATCACATTTGAAGCGCTCTTGGAGAAATTTAGCGTAAAAGATGCCTTAAAAAAAAGAAAAAGAAAACTTTTAATAAGAGTTAAAAATCTTTTCATTTACAGAAATTGACGTACTTGGTCTGATCCAAGGTAGTTCACATTAAAAACCAACTCTTCCGGTAAATATTTTGGAGACTTCCAGATTGCCCATCCAATACCTGGGTAGCATAATCCGTATTTATGACCAGAAACGTTGATAGAACGAACCAAGTCAAGCCTATAAAATTTACCAACAATTATTTAAGTACAATTAAATTTGACAATGTTGAGATTGTAAGAACAAAAAATTTTGTTCACCTAAAATCCCAAACAAGGTCAGGGTTCACAAATGGAGCAACAAATCCACCGGATGCAGCATCAATATGAATTGGTACATCCCAACCAGTTTCTTCATTTTTGACTTTTAAAAGATCATTGACCGTTTTCGCATCTTCATAATGACCAGTATAAGTTGATCTAATTTTAAAAGTCCAAGTTCAAAATTGGCGATTCTTAGGATTCAATACAGTATAGGTGGGCAAGCACCAAACGTCAAGCGAACATGCGAATAAATTAAATATTACTAATAATCAGCGGAACTTCAGCCCACCTATACTTTAACATATATCTTTAACGAAAACGGATAATTCAATGATTTATTATACCCTAATATAACACAAACGCCGATTGTATTCTCATCAACAAGTTCAACTGCTTTTACGGGATCTAGAATATAGACACCTTCAGTCAAGTAAACAAATTTTTCTTCGATCTCAAGATATCTGGTTGCTATAATAATCAAAATATGTCATTTTTGATCAATAAGAAGACAAATGAAAAAAAAATGCAGGATAAAAAATACAATACCTTTTTCCCAACAAACTTGAACTATATATAGAAATGAGAATTTAGAAAATGTACACAAGGAACGATTTAAAGATTAAATGTCAATTACCTGATGCAGCCATTACTAAATTTGGTTTATCAATAGGCTTTCCCTCCTCTTTCCTTCTTTTTTGCCACAATTTTTTCATCGCTAACACGGATAATATAATGGCTTCGGAAGAACCTACGGTTGAAACGCCCATTGCCTCAGATTTCGGATCGTCCATGGGAGCATTAAAAAGACGGGCAATAATGTTGACACAGCGGTTCTATAACGGAGTTTGAATGCCATAAGTTTGGAATCGTATAGAGGTGCAGTCAAATCCTCCCAATGATTGATTACCGTAACCAGTTACGACATAAGCTTTAGCTAGTTACAGCTTAAGTTGTATCATCGTTGGGACATCATTGGGACGATTCGCCTGCATTCTAGAATCGTAAATTGTATGAATAATTAATGACGAAATAAATTTCAACACGCATACTTGTAATTCAACGGAAACAGGATATTCTTCGTAATCAATAAAATTTTTAGACAAATTTTCTGCCATTAATTTCTCAGCCTCTTCTTCCATATAAGTGGTAACGAAGGATGCCAAGTTCAGTACTGGATTACCATCCAACTTATTCATATATAAAAAAATTGTTAATTAATAAAAGATGCATTCATTTTGCTTAAAAGATTAATTTAAGATATACCGCAAGATCATCTTTGATGAGTTTATAGGCGACATTTGGTGGCATTTCATCTTCAGGTAAGGAATATCTGTCAACAATATATTATTCAGGCAAGATAAGGCGAGAGTTTAACCTTAAGCATAAGTTTAGTTGATCTTACTTTGGAATGGGCTGTGCGGACCAGCGAGAACCATAAACGCAAGTTGAAAACAGCTTTTTTTTTAAATCCAAATATAGGGATAAATTTAAAAAAAATTCAATACGACGTTATGAGACGGAAGCATAAGAAACAATGTCGTTCTATATCATAAGATTGATACTATACTATTAATATTTACGAATAATACGAACCGATTTACCGCTTTCATCCTTTTCATTTATTCGAGCATCGGATACGGCACTGCTTAAGAAAACCATTTTGATGAAAATTTTTAAATCGAAATAAGAAGCAAAAATAAATTAAAAGTAAGAATTGACGAGACATTTATATAGCATGTCGCGTGTAATAATAGATAATCCATAGATCTTTTTACGATAAACGCGTTTGTATATGGAAATTTATTAACCAAATATTTATGATTGTGTGATTATCTAGATTACTTTGTGTAAGTTTTTAAATCAAGCTTATCTGTATGTACTGTATGTTGGCTAAGTTGGTATTGCGCGTGATATTGCCAAGACAAATCCTGTAACCGTTATTCCCTTATTTAATTGTTATTTATACTAAATTGTAAATACCGTACAGGCACATTTGATATTAGGGTAAGCTTGTTAGACTGCTAGCGTTAGTGTGAAACTATCCTATATCAGAATTCTGTTGCTATCGTATTATTTAGAGGTGAAAACGAATTGAGGTACATGTGTACGAAAAATTCGATTTTGTAGTCATTGTACGTAGTATATATGTATATTTTATTAGTTCTTTATTTTGAGATTTTCTTATTAGCATGTATTTAGAATAAAAATTTTAAATTGGGTTCTTAACTAGTCTAGAGCAATGACAGCCTCGTATATGTTTCTAAGCATAGAAAATGTATAGCGAACTTTGTGTTACGTAGACTATGCGTAACATTAAAATTCCAAAACAGGCCCAACCGCCTGGCTGATTATTATGGTACCATAAAATGCTGTATAAGGTACGTACGACCCAGGTATTTATTGATATTGTGAAGTGGATTCGGAAATAATTTATTATTATTAAATCGGAAATTTGATTGTACCCGGGTCTCTTACAAAACACCTTGAAACATACCCGGACAATCAAGCGAGGTACGTACCTACCTTATACGGTGTGTGTATGTAATATATGTTGGCGTACACTTGTGCATGTGATACTAACCCAAAAAGAATAACTACTCGAGTGTAGGGAAGTTGGATAAAAACAATAAGCTTAGGGATAAGAAGTTGGAGTTTTTCTACAAACAATGTTTAGTTTTTAGACCTGTTTAAAGCAGTTTTAATATAGTTTTTGTTATATTTTTTATATACTTTTTGTATATTATAACTTTGTGCCCCTTATAACGTAAATTCCAGATTTTCACGTGATCACGTATAATGATTGTGTTGTACACATTCGATTTTTATTACCATGAATATAAAAATATTGCCAAATAAAGTTTTAGATTAAAGTTGTTAGCTGTGCATTTACTAATTTTCCTCACGGTTTTTATTGGTTAACAGTTGCCGTTACTATAAAAAACTAAACCTAAATATGCTTTTTAGTATGTAATATTTGAAGCTAGAGTAAATTCTGTGATAAACATAATTCTAAAAAAGAATTAATTGTTTTTTTTTAATTTTTACATTTAGAATAAGATCGGATATTTAGTTATATAGAACTTAACAAATATTTTTTTAAAAAGGTTTTTAATATAAATATTTGATTATATAATAAAATATTCAACTCTTTCTTTTAGTTCATTAAAACAAACAAAATTGACAAAAAATTAAAATAATAGTATATATAAGTTCTTTTTAGTAGTATAGTTTTCTTAAAAATAATATTGGATTTAACATTGTTAGATTTAATATTACTGAAAATTTAAAAACTACAAGTAGTTGATTATAGTCTAATTGTTAGCATATAGTTGACAATTCTAATAAAAAGCAAACAAATTATTTGTTATTCTTGATCTATACATACTGATTAACAGATGTTTACTTCTAAGTATAATTGGTTTGTTCTTTTTAGAGTATCTAGAAGGTTATAGATTTTGTTTATTCAGTTTTTTTTTTATTTTTTTATTTTAATATAAACTTTATACTTTTTCGAAAATAAAAAAAAAATTATCTAATAAAATTTTAATTTTGTTTTAAAAAATTTTTTGACAAAAAATAAGGCATCACATTACTTCAGAAAATTTGTTAAATACATATAATTAATTAAAACAATAAACAATAAAAACAAACAAGCAAACATTTTTTTTTTTTTTGGTATTAAGATAATCTCTTTGGTTTTTTGACTTTTATTAATCACTTATCAGTATTATGGTTTAATGAACCACTACAGGAGAGTGTACAATTGGCTACATATGTAACTTTTCTATATTATCTATTTAAGAAGTCTGCCTGAAGGTTCTCTACCAATTGCTATACCTAATACCCCTGCTTGGATGTTCTACTTTAAACCCTCTGAACCTGTAATCTGTATTAACATCACTGATCATCTTAAATGCATCAGATCATTGTCCTCAACCTTAGAACTAATTTATTCTTGAGATAAACCCCCTAAAGCCTTCTGTACCTATTTTTACAGCTGATCTAGGTATCGTTATAACAGAACCAACACTTGTGGTCAGAACTAATCATTAAACTGTTATGCTCTTGTAAAGTTCACTTAGATCCCAGCATCTACTTCACAGCATAACTCTGGTACTTTAGTATACTCCTGTCTTTTGTTCAGCCATTTTATTAAAGTCCCAATCCAGATAACCTATGTAGGACTATAATCAGTTCATCAGTATATCGAGTCAGCCCAATATCCTTTTCTTTCAGTTCATTCCAGCAGCTTGATTGATGGTACTTCTGAGCCTCCTAACCCAGAGGTTCTGGCTACTATAACTGTTTATTACAATCTTGGTATCTGTTTTCTAGGTTTAGCTTTTACAGTAATATTGTCAAAGATCTATATTATCTCTTTACTCAGGTCTTCA